CAACACATAAATCTTTCATATACCATCGGAATTTTAAAAAAAAAAAAAATAAATATATATACATATCGGTAAGTGATTACATTTTTTTTTATTCATTTAATTTAAAGGTAGCTCCATTGGAAGCTGCCTGGAAAACCTCGATTGAATTAAAGAGATAGTTCCATTGGGAATTGTCTGAGAGGGAAAAAAAGAAGAGAACCACTCGATTATTATTATATATACAACGTTATCAATTAAATTCCACATTATATTATCATAATTTTATTATTGTTATTAAAATAACGGCTTATAATCTTCGAAGTGCTGGTAACGATCCAGAATTTACTGGTGAGTTATTAACAAAAACATCTGAACGTACAGTAAAAAGATTAACTCTGGACTCATTAAATAATACTACCGAACAAATTCAAACAATGTCTCACACTGCACAAGATTCAGCGATGATGATATGTTATCGTGAATGTTTATCAAATCTGGACAAATTCAATGGTGGTGAAGATCAAAAAGTTTCGCAATTTATTAATAATATTGAAAGGATTGGAAGAATGATTAATGCAAATGATGATATTTTACATTGTATGTGTACAGCCAAATTAGATGGGGAAGTGAAACGCTGGTATGAAGACAATATGACATTAACCAAATGGGAAAATTTAAAACCAGCATTATTAGAAAGATTTACAACATCGGATTCAACATCGAAAATATTTGAACAATTGAAAGAACGAAAACAAAAATCAGATGAAACAATTACATCGTATTATGATGCTGTCATCAAATTATATCGTGAATATGATTCATCCATGTCACAAAAAATGATGATATCGTGGTTACAAAATGGAATTAAAGATTCATTGAAGACTCAAATTAAACGACAAATGAAATTGTTACCTGAATCAGCACGAACAATTCAAGCATTCTTGAAAATTGCTAAAGATGAACAAGAATTACAAGAAGAAGATTCTTCTGAACTCCAAGCAACACAATCTTATTTACCATACATTACGAATACCGTATCAACAACAGCACAACAAACACGAAGCAACTCCGAAAGGATACCAACATCAACATACTCACCATCACGACACACAACATATAAACAATATGCTCCATCATCCAACCCTTTAGATTCATTAAAGTCACAACAAAAAAATTACAGTTCAACTTCCCGACCATCACCTATTTTACATAAACGGGAATCACATTATTCATCAATTAATAATTCATCACGACGTCAAGACGTAAATGTTAAACCTTATTCACCTACACAATATGATTCTCAACGACGACCGTGTGATGTATGCCAACGCATTAATCATCGAACAATTGATTGTTATTACAAGAAACCATATGGATGTTTTAAATGTGGACAGTCTGATCATCATATACGCGATTGTCCACAGGTTTTCTACTAGCTGGAACCCGTGATGGTGGTCACTCCAGTAGTAAAGAAAATCCATCAACAACAAATTATACATCACCAACATCATCAACTCCTATTCATATAAAAGTTCAAGTAAATAATAAACAACATCAAGCTATTGTCGATACTGGATCTGCAGTCACCATTATTAATCAACAATTATTAAAAACAATTTATCATAAGGAATTTACTTACAAGAAGAAATTACACAAATCAGCCAATTGTTCATCGATTAATATTATTGGTGAAATTCAACTTGAAATTAAAATACAAGGATATAAAACATTAATTTTAGCAGATGTTGCAACTAATCTTATTACTGATTTATTACTTGGAAATGATTGGATTACAGCAAACAATGTTATTATCGATTCACCACAACAGTGCATTTATCTCACTGACAACAAACGAAACATTCTAGCAACAGCAACATTCGTTAAACCTGCACACCTTCAATTACCAGTACTATTAACCGATGAAATTACTCTTCCACCGCACTCCGAAAAATGCGTTAACATCAAAGTATTATCACCAACAATGAACATAACCGAAGCTTTATTTGAACCAGCAGCATATTTATATTCGAAACAAATGTTACTTACGAATGCATTAATTAAGTTAGAAGACAACAGAAGTCAAGTTATGATTTTGAATGCAAATGATCGTCAAAAGACTTTATCGAAAAATACATCATTAGGATATATTACATATCAATCCAAAGCCAATAACTATCTTATTTTACCAGTATTAACAAAAAAATAAAACTGATCGATCAACACCTATAACATCGAATTTTTACAGAAGGAACAACTCTTTTGTGAGTCGTTCCTGGATTCCTTCAATGAATAATAAGAGGAAAGTTCAATCTACGAACTTTACCTGTCAAATGAACAACAATACCGATCCTGAACATCAATGTTATGTATGTCAAGAACAATTTTTATCACGGAATGATTTACAACAGCATTTACGCCGAACATGTTATCCATCAGAAATGCGAGAACAAATTGGAACATTAACTCAACACATCGAAGACGACAAACAACAACAACAATTACAACAACTTTTATGGAAACATGGCAAATTATTTGATATTCGTCAACCGTCCATCATCAAAGCTACAGTACATCACGCTATTGAAACTGGCACTCATCCACCAATTTATACTCCACCATATCGTGTTTCTTATAAGGATGAACAAATACAGAGAGAAGAAATTGATAAATTACTCGAGCAAAGAATAATCGAAGAATCTACATCACCATGGTCATCACCTATAGTATTAGTGAGGAAAAAAGATGGTTCTGTTCGATTTTGTATTGATTTTAGGAAATTAAACAACATTACGACCAAGGATGCATTTCCTATGCCTCGAATCGATGATATCTTTGATCATTTATCACATGCTGAATATTATACAACCATTGACTTTAAATCTGGTTATTTTCAAGTGGGACTTGACCCAAAAGATCGTCCAAAAACAGCTGTCTCAACTCGAGATCAACATTATCAATTTACAGTATTACCTCAAGGTGTTACAAATGGTCCACCAGCATTTCAACGCATCGTCAGTCAAATACTTGGACCTACAAGATGGCAACATTCATTAGCTTATCTTGATGATGTTATAATATATTCACCAACATTTGATCAACACCTTATTCATCTCGATGATGTTCTTAATCGATTAAACAATGCAAATTTTCGCCTCAATGTAAATAAATGTCAAATAGCAAAAACAGCAATTGATTTCCTTGGTCATCACATCGAACATAGTAATATTAGACCAAATGCAGACAACATTCGTGCATTAATAGAAACTCAACAGCCAACAACAGCGAAAGAAGCTTTTCGATTTGTTAAAGCTGCTGAATATTATCGTAAATTTATACCAGGATTTTCTACTATTGCACAACCTTTATATAAATACGCACCTACTACAAAAGAACAACGATCACAAAAATCACAATCTACTCTCATTAATTTATCAGATGATGAAATACATGCACTTAATGAATTAAAACGAATATTAACGCATGACTTAGTATTACGTATTCCAGATCAAAATTTATCATTCAAGATACAAACCGATGCATCAAAGATTGGAATTGGAGCTGTTCTTATGCAGACTCATCCAAATGGAGATTTACCAATTGCATATTTATCGAAGAAACTTACAACAACACAAATGAACTGGCCTGCAACAGAACAAGAATGCTATGCTATTATATTTGCAATTGAAAAATGGCACAAATATTTAGATGGACGTTCGTTTATAATTGAAACGGATCATAAACCATTATTACCGTTTAATACGAAAAAACAATTAAATTCGAAATGTGAACGATGGCGTTTGAAATTACAACAATATCAATTTACTATACGATATATTAAAGGAAAACACAATACAGTAGCTGATTATTTATCACGTTCACCAGTAGATAATGGAACAAATGATGAAGACGATTATACTCCAACGACATCCAGAGCAACACAAACTGATAATCATATGCAGACACAAATTATTGCACCTATTATGACTCGTAGACAAGCAAGACAACAGCTTAATGAGAGGACTGATCATCACGTACCAGATCAGACCTGTAATGGAAATCGACAAGAGAGGAATGTCGACATATCAATCGACCATTCCTGTATTCCAAAAGCCGAGCAACTACCAACATCTATCCACAACACCGACTCTGATAGAATAATACCATTTACATTGGAACAAATAAAAGAATTACAACATCAAGATGATGAAATTAACAACATCATTCACAACATCAAGAACTACAAAGAATATTTTGTTAAAAATAATCTGTTAATGAAGAAAAGATTCCCACCAGTCCCCGTTATACCTAAGGGACGAATCCGTTTAGACATAATTAAAATTTATCATGATACACCTGCAAATGGTGCACACTTTGGTCGGAATAAAACCATCCACAAAATTCAACAGCGTTACTTTTGGCCAAATATGGTTTCTGATATTCGTAATTACGTGCAATCATGTCTACCTTGTTTGAAAAACAATCCACTGCGACAAAAACCACCGGGTGCTTTAAAACCGATAAAACCTCCAGAAGGAGTATGGCAATTACTTACAATGGACTTCCATGGACCGATTACACCAACAACAAAAAATGGGAAAAAATATATTATTTTATTAACTGATGTATTATCCAAATTTGTAATTACAAAAGCAGTGCGAGATTGTACTGCATTAACTGCAGCACGATTTCTAACTGAAGATGTTATTCTTAAATATGGAACTCCAAAATGTATTCTTACGGACAATGGTACACATTTTACTGCTGACATGATGACTGAATTGTTCAAGAAGATAGGAATTATACACTTATATTCAACACCCTATCATCCGATGACCAATGGACAAATCGAAAGATTCAATGCGACGATGGATTCGAAAATAGCAACATTATCAAATGAAAAACGTACTAACTGGGATGAACAATTACAATTCGTTACATTCAACTATAATACCAGCATCCATGCAACAACTGGACAAATTCCATTTGAATTAATGCATGGACGTTCACCGATTTTACCCTTTGATCAACAACAACCATTAGTTACACTCCCCCAAGATCCAGATCATAAATCGAAATTAAATCATCATTTATCAACTTTAACGGAACAAGCGAGAACGAATATACTGAAACGACAAGAGAAATATAAAGAACGATATGATCAACATCGCACAAATCCACATTACAAAGTCGGTGATCTTGTCTTAATTAAGATATTATCTATGCGTAATAAATTCGACGCACGATATGAAGGACCATTCAGGATAACACGACAACTTAGCACGAAAACATTTATCGTTCAACATGTGAAGACACCAACATTAGTGAAACAAGTGACCAGCGACATCATGGTGTCAATCATAGAACGTCGGAAACAGTAAAAAAAAAAAA